CAACCATTTAATATCTATTTTATATTTAAATAGTTATAACGTTAGTACGAAAAGTAAATTTTAATAATTTTAATATTTTTATTTTATTATAATCAAGATACTTTTAATTTTAAAACCATACATTAATGTATGATATATTTCTTTCATTGTGTTAACTAGCTTCTTTTGTGAGAAGAAGTAATGAAGGGTGAGAGACAAATGACGATCCATATCATGCGTAGAATTTAACTGGATGGTATCTCTTATTCGTAGGTAAGACAACGCCCCATCCGGAGAACCCAGGCTCCGTTAAACGGACACCACCTTCACAGCCGGATCTTCCATCAATGGGTGTTTACACTCCGGACTCGACGACCAATTCAGTGCACTCATTGCATTACGGCCAATGCGATCTCGACGTCAGTCAACTTGGTCTCGAGTCACCAACCTCCATAGCAAGTGATCTTGCATCGCAAAACAGCGTTGAAAGGCCACCGAGTGCTTTACCGACGATGCCATCAACCCAACCCCAGTCCCAGTCCCAGTCTCAATCTCAATCTCAACCTCACTCTCAGCCTCAACCACAACCACAGCCACAACCACAACCACTACCACTACCACTACCACTACCACTACCACAACCACAACCACAACCACAACCACATTCCCAACAGCAACAACAGCAGCAGCAGACTGTTTCGGTTTCCTCTATAGCTCCGGGACCGATGCAAATGGCGACAGCCCAACAACAGCCCAATCCTCATCCCGTCAATCTCCAGGCGCAACAACAGCAATATGCCGATTGCTCGATGCCACAGCACACACCGTCTACGCATGTAACTATTCAGCAACAGCACCAACAACAGCATTCTATGCAGCACACGGATAAGAATCCTTATGTAAGTTCAATTTTATACTACATACTTTCTGCCTTTATAGGCTTACTACCATTTAACTTAATATCTTCTACTATTTTTGTGCCCTACCTTTCATAAAATCCATAAATTTGAACATTATCATACAGTATCATTACAGTCCAATAAAAGTGTAATAATAAACAGATAAAAAGTTAGGTTTCAAGTATCTATCAAGTACGAATATTTTCTAAATTTTCTTCAAGCAAAAAAGCACAATTATCATTTAAAAAATGAACCATTACTCATTTAAATATTTATAAATTATTCTTAGACATTTACAATATTTTAAAAGATTCGCATGTTTTGTAAAAATAAATAAAATCCTACAAGTCCAAAGTCCTTAACAAGCATACGATTAAAGAAAAGCGTATTTATTTAATTAGAAGTTTTATAAAGAATAATACTTATTAATTATGTAGTAACATAGTATCATAAAAGCAAATTTTAAGAAAAATAAACGTTGACGAGCAAATGTACGTTGACATACATAGCATCAACAGCAGCCGCATACGCCACAGCCGCTACAACAGCCCAGAACACCACAGTCGCACACACCTCAGAGTCTACCGACGCACAGTCCGCAACCGATGCCACAACAATCGCACACGCCACAGCCGCTCTCCCAGCCTCACACACCTCAGCCGATAGCTCAAATTCACACGCCTCAACCAATGCCGGCTCAGTCTCACACAACACAGCCCGTGCAACTTTCCATCGCTCAGCAGCAGCAGCAGTCGAGAAGTCAGACTCTCGTGCATGCTCACAACCAGCAGCAACAGCAGCAACAATCATCAACTCATCAGCAACAACAATCGACAACTCACCAACAGCAACAGACACATTCACATAGCAGCAAAAGAGCAAGTGGATCGCAGGCGTCGCACAGGTCAGTAACAATACATTACTAATACAATAACATTATTATCAATTTTGATCTCCATCGTTGCTTTCAAGTATCATTGTTCAAATTCATATGTCGCTATATGTTAATGAGTTTTTTTATATGTTAGAATAAGTTTTAATGGGCGTTTGCGAGGTATAATCCTCTGTTAGTCGTCGCATATGTCTGATTAACGATACAATGAATGGTTATCACAGGTCATCCAGATCGACACAGCAGGGAGGTGCCGCGGGCGCGAGTAGCAGTAGCGGCAGCAACAGTCGCTCTCACCGTGCCACGCCGCCCAGCTCTCAGAATCAGGGGACCAGCGGCGGTAGTAGTCAACACGCGAGTCTCGCAACTGTCTCGCACAATAGCCACTTGCCACCACAGTATCAACAGTCGACGAGCATGGCTTCGGTGGCTGGAATGGGTCATCCGCACTCTCATAATATGGCCGTGATTTCCCAGGGTGGCAACTACATGGCAGTTTCGCAGGCCATGGCCTTCCCTAGCCAAAACACTTATGTGATTCAGCATAGAGCGAGTCGTTCAGGCTCACACACGCCCTGCACCACAGCTACTAACTTCTACATACAGACAGCGCCAATGCCGCACTCGCACGCCCCTACGGCTGCGGCCAACCATCAAGGCGGCAACTCCTGCAGTCTTGCGAAGCTCCAGCAGTTGACGAACGGTCTGGAGATGATGCCTCCAACGCCACCCCAACCAATGAATTTGACCCCTCCACCGCCTATACCGCATACTATGACGCCGCCACAGCCTTCGCGACAACTCTCAACACCGCCACAAGTGCCCCTTGGCTATACCAAAAATTATTATAACGTAAATGCAGTACCACCACCGAGCAGCTCCGGGGCACCGCCTTCCGGTCGTTCAACCTCTAGATCTTCACCGAGCTCTACCATGGCCCCATTAACGCAATCCTACGCAACCGAGAGTCTTTACAGGCAGACTCTTGATCCCGGGAGTAGCTGCCCGCAGATGCAGAGTGGAGCCAGCCGTGTTAGCCCGAACGTCGCTATCAATACCAACCTTATGGCGGCTCAGGCGGCTTACGGCTATAGAGTCGCTCAGCCAACTTCCGGCTACATGAACCAGGCCGCGGCTCAGCTCGGTGGTTTCATGAACCAGGCGAGTCAGCTGCCGGTCGGCGTCGTCAATGTAGCCGCTCCTTACGCTCAAGATCCGCACCAGCAGAACCCACCTACCGTCTATACCACTTACCACGGCTACATCAACGGAGGTCTTATGCAGTCACTTAATGGCACGATGAGGCCGCGCTAGCTACATCATACAGACTGTGCATTTAGCTTGACGTTTTCACAAAAGATAACTACTGTCGAAAATACTTCCTCCTCGTGCTCTTTAATATTCATCGTCATTTTTTTCTCTTTGCTCCTACTTTAATACCTCCTCATCCCTTCGCGCCTTTCTCAGTCGTGGTATCTTTAACGTTTATAATCAAGAAGAAGGCAGTAACGTTGTAGTGCAAATTTCCTCACATATTTTAATAATCTCATTGCGAAATGTAGCCTATTTCAATATTTCAGTCTCCCTCGGTCTCCTGACTCTTATCTATAGTATCTCCTTTTCCATCAATCTCTACCGATTTCAAAGGAAAACAAGGATGAAAGGCGACATACCGAAATTTTTATTATTGCGTTTAACTGACATTCACATCCTGATGATATATAATTTTAGTGTTAATGGATACAATTACTCGATCTATACGTGCTTTCGGATTCGGGCAAGGTTAAATGTGACGTGATCGGAGTAAGAAGGAAAGTATAACGAAATTAAGCTAAAAGGTTCGTAATAAACGCACTGTGCATTTACATGACGGTGTGAACTGTTTTGTGTATTTTATTCTGTGCCGACGAATATTTCCATACACGAGATGCGTGTGCGTGGGTCTGAAAAAACTCGATGACGCAACGAAAAAATATCTGAGAAAAGTAAACCCTTTAATTAAATTCAGTCATTTCGCGATTCATTAGGGCATTTCCATCAGTTTCCCTTCCATTTACAGTGTTACGTTTTATGTATGATAATATTTATATGAAGAAAAGAAATATACTTACAATAATATTCTGTTTGATATTATCCAATTGTTAAACGTTGTTGTTTACATTTTACGGGGCACGCTGTACTTTACTGTATTATACGAGTGAATTGCATATAAGTTGCTAATTACGATGATAATGGTTATAATAATAATCACTAATATTATTATTACTATTATTAATATTATATTATTTTATTATTATTATTATTATTATTTTTTTTTTTATTATTGCTATATACAGAGTTAAAGAAAATTTGCAGCGTAACACAAAATACATGATCGCATGCGCGCAAAAACATTTATTAATTTTTAATTAAATTATCACAGTCCATTTTCCTATTTTTATCATTTATATTCATTTATGTTTTTACCAATTTCGCAAATCCGCTTTCTTCTTTTTTTGTCCTTAATCCCTCATCTTATTTCCCACATTATTTTTTATAAATGTACGATACATAACGCATATATCATTTTTATTAATTATATTGATGCGAGAGTGCACGCGTTAGTTATGATGAAATGAAAATAAAATAATGAAAAAAATATGTATATATACATAATAAATTGATTGATTTGAAATGCTGTTCTGCAAACTGTCATGCGGGCTATAAGCAAATTGAAAAAAATTATTTTTTGTATCAGAGTCGTGAAAAAAAAAATTATAGAAAAGACTCAATCGAAGGGGGAAAGAAAAAAGAATGTGTATTGTATATTGAAAGAAAGAAAGATGCCTACTTTGCACTATTGAGCTCTGAAGAAAAAAATTATATGACTCGCACTCTCGATGAGTGCATATTTTATTTTGAATTCCCGTGACATTTTGTGGAAGAGTCACGAAAATATAATGAAATGGCGCGCGTGTGCATGCACACCCGCATACAAATACACACACATTCATGCATGCACGCACGCACGTGCGCTAATATAAATATATATATTCATAAAATACATCCGAGTACGAGTTAACTTTTTTTTTAGAATAGATCAGAGAACGAGCAAGTGCAGTGCTAGTTTTTAGTGTAACTTGTAAACCACAAGGAAGGTTTTGAAGAGTATAGTGTAAAAATACATCAATATTTATTGTACATAGATATAAAAAATCTACTAACAAATAAAAATGAAACCATAAAATGATTTAATAGTTTTCTTCTTTTGAACCTTGTTTTCTGCTTCTTTTTATCATTTTTATATCCTTTGACTTTTCAAGAGAAGAGTTCCTGTATAAGTTAAGTTTTGAAAGTATATCGTTAGTGTTATAATCAGCTATGACGTTAAAATGCAAAAACATACAAGTATAAAAAAGAATTTTGTAATATTTCTGTAACACTAAGGGAAATAATGGATTGTATCTTTTTAGCATCATTAATTCAATCGATCCTTCAAGCTTTGTGATGAGAAGGAAGGGGGATAATCGTATTCTAAATAAATTAAGGTTATTAGCGAAATTTTCATTACCATGAATTCACCTGAATCTACGGGTTCTGCGATATTTGCGTTTACGCATTCTTCGATTTTGCCTATCTCTGCGTCTCTTTTCTGCCATCGCGATTTCCACGTATTTAAGCCGCTGTTCAGAGCTCATCCCCTGCCATCGTTTCCCAGCCACTCGAGCAATTTTTGTTACATTCTCTCGAGGCTTCTTGCTGTACAGTCTCAAAAAAAAAACGATAAAAGGATTCGTCGAAGCCCTGAGAAAGTCGAATTTGCTGTAAAAAGGATTAACGGTTCCTCTTGCTAAGATATCCTCGCAGTCTTTCCTTGGCTCATTTTCGTTGACTTCTGTGCTATGTCAGGGAAACGTATTAATGGTAAAGTTGTGAATTTTCTTAGCCGATCGGAAATAAAATATCTTCTGATCATTATTCTGTATTATCAATAACGGTTGAGGATAGCCAGAAATGATCAAGACCTATATGTTACTACTATAAATTATAATATTCTTTTACATCCATTACTTATTTAAATTTACATTTAAAATATCCTTAAAAAAGTTTTTTATTTTATTTTAAAATCATAATATATATATATATTTAAAAAATATTTTATATTTAGAATAAATTGTATAAGGAATATTATAAGCATATTTGTTATTATATTGTAAATTTCTCAAGAGGAATAATAATGTGCCAGAATTATTCTTACTTTTTATTTGGTTACTGGATCGTTGCCATCTTTTATTCTTAAGAATATTACCCATAATTATATTTCTTTGGAGACTTATAAACCAAATTCTAATTGAAAATATTTCAGTTATCATGGATATTCATCTATAGTTGAATTAACTTCTTATTTTTATCTTTCTAGTTACTCATTTGCAATGAAATACGTATTTTTATTAAACTTATTTCAAAGTAATTACAATTACAATGAAATGTTATTCATGCTTTATACTCTCGATATAATTGGTTAATATAGAATGAATGTTATATTGAATTTAATGTATTTGCAGCTTTCTTCACATGATTATAAGTACAATGACAAATTGTAGTTATAGAATTTGGTAAATAATCACCTTAACCTAGAATTAAATTCAATTATTTAAAAATATAAGTTAAATAAGTTTTTTCAGCCCATTAAATATACGAATATATTCTAATTATAAATAGAAAGATATAAGAAGAAGGTTATGATAACCAATATAACAAAGCTTTTCTTCTATAAGTAGCGAATATCAAAAAGAATTCACGTTCAACAAATTTTAAGCATACAAGTATTATGGTAATTTAATTTATTTGTAAGCCGTTTGAATTGACTACGTGTACAAAAATATATATTTAACAATATTTTAATTTTCTATTTTATATAAAACAACTTAAATATAAATATATATAAATATAATATAAATCATTTATATTAATAATCTATTCAATTATTTTATAATTCAATGTACTTGTATTTTGATTTTCTTGAACTAAAAATAAATAACATAAAACAAAATTATAACTTTTACTGAGAAGAAAAATGAAATGCAGTATAACATTATTACATATTTATGGAACATTCGATAATATCAAATCCTGAAACCATAAATTACAAAAATTCAGGTGATTTGCTCAATTACTTAAGAAGTTATTCTTCGGAACTGGAGCATTTTCCAAGAACGTAGACTCTCGGAAATTTATAAGCCTTCTAGATCTCGAATTTTGTAATCATTTGATTCTGAGAATTCTCGAAATTCTAAAGCTTTACCTTGGAGCGTCATACAATGTTTATCTGGTCTCTGCATAGCAACTTTCTAAAGCTTCTCTAAAGCTTTGCTTTCCCGGAGTTCTCGAAACTTCTAAAACTTTAGACTCGAACGTCCTGTAATGTTTTCCGCATAGCAACACCTATGCATTGTTGCCAGCTAAATAAACTGCCGCATGGATATTTAAAGTAAGCACATTGCGAGACGAGGCTTATAGTTACTCAGCTAGTAAGCCAGTCAGTCATTCTAGTCAATCAGCAAGCTATTCGCCATACTCTGTCAAGGTAAGGCCACCGAGGAAGGAAGACGCGTCTATTCCCCTGTATTGCAAGAGGAAGGAGTTGACACTATTCCCTTCAAATCAAGAAAGTGCCAGACTACATCCACAATTAATCCATCCACGCGCAGCATCCGGGATGGTGAAACAAATCATCCACACGGAGCATTCGGGATGGTGAACCATTCATCACAGAACAGGTCAAGATTCCTGTGTGAATAAACCAAGTCATAAATAAACCAAGGCATAAATCATTGCTAATCCACACAAGATTAGCATGATGCTATTATTAACATAGCACAACCATACATACAAATAAGAGTGTGTACAGTTACTGATTCTTACAAAATTAACATCAAGGAACATCTTGTGTAGGTAAGCTATCCACTACAGAATTAGTTCAAGTAGCTGAAACATCGTGATTCAACTTAGTATATACCCTTCCATTACATAAATCCAACACACCAATAATGTAATTCTAAATAAACCATAATAAAGCATATTAAACGAAGAAGCACACACTGTATTAATGTAAATCCCTTCCACTTGACTCCTTCCCAAGCATCCGTTAGGGCAGGCGGCAAATCATATTAAGTTATCGAACATTGGCAGTTCGAGTCAGAAAATCACATATTTTCGAATAGTTATATAAATGTAACGTTTAAAAGTATATAGATATTATTTCAATTTTTATCTTGTATCACATCTTATATAATAATTTTTTTTTATTAATTACTAGTTTTATGATTATGAATATTATATTTTGTATTTTTAAAAAAATTAAAAGATAAAAGTTAATTAATTTAAAATAGAGAATACTAGAATATTTTTATTTAAATGATTAATTATAAGTATAAAAATATATATAAATTATAGTTGTAAAATTAGACTGTTAATTTTAATTAACAAATTAATTATAATTTAATATAGAAAGATTGAATTTATTTAAATAAAATTATATTTTAATACATTTTTATTAAGGACTTTACATTCATAATCTATGATGCAGCTCTATTTGATATTTATATAAAATATTTAAATTTACTTATTATACGAATTTAAGAAACTAAAGTAATTAAATTTATAATTTTACATAATTAACTTTGTTTTATCGCAAATCAAATAATTGGTAATTTAGAAACAATTTGTTTAATAGGTAAAAGTACATTGATAATTAATGGCTAAAGCAAATTATTACATGAATACATTTTCACATATCATTGTTATTTCAAAGATGAGAATCAAATGTTTAAAGATTTATATAAATTAATTTTTAAAAGTAAATGATTCTAATATGTTTCAGAAAAATATACATTCAAATATAACAAAGTATTTTACTTTATGCATTTTATAATTTTTACACAAATTTCAATGTAAAACATTAGATACATAATATTATTATTAATTTTATATTATATAAATAGTCAAAAGATTGAATGAATATTAAATCGAACTATAAGTGTATTATGGACAATATGTGTGGATACATATTTAAAAAATAAATTTTAAACAGAATCAAAATAATGTTTTAAAATATTAATGTATGTTATCTTAATACATAATGTATATAATTGTTATATCAATATGTAATATAATTTAATCTTAATGATACATGTTTAAAAATAAATAATAAAATGCTAGAACTTCCATTATATTGTAATCTCATATTTCTATGTTTGACGTATTAATTATATATTAATTAAGTGTTATATAAAAAAATGAATGTAATACATGAAACTAATAAATATTGTTTTAACCATTTTGAAGACTTGCTTTATTAAAAAAAATTGATTTAAGAAACTTAATATTATTTTATAAAGATAAAAAGCAATATTTCTCGTGTATGTACAGAATGATAAGTATAAATTTGATTATAATTCTCCACCTGATTGACCAGTATGTTTAAAATTTTTGTTTTTATTATTATTGTTGCAGTAACATGCCTGTTTCTGTGCATCAAGATAGCTTTTGCAACCAAGTGCAGTTGTTCCTGTAAATAATAGTTTAGCTGCTGCCTTGCAAGTATTAACAATTGTTACCCCTGTTGGTTGATAACTTTGACAGTATTTGTACAGACATCGTTTAAACTCTAAATCACATTTTTCTTTATCCGAATTACAAGTGTCATAGCATATATCATGAAAATTGCAGCATTTGGTCATTTCTTCTAATGGTAGATATTTTTGATTTATCTAAAATCAAATCAAAGAATATAAAGTAATGTATTAATTATTTATCTTCGATTATCTCAAATAATATAATAAAAAATTATCATAATATAATCTTTTATAACTATATCAAATACATTTATATTGTGCACTCATTACGTATAATAAAAGTTTTTAAATTTAAGTATTTCTATAGCTTAGTATCACTCATTATTTACAATTAATAAATATCTTTTTTGTAACAGTAAAATAAAAAGTACCTATTTTCAGAATATTTAAAATTATGACATTTTATTAAAATTTTCAAGTAATCAGTATGAGTAATGTATTTTTATGCAATAATAATCTACAAACCTCAATTCCCAAGGAACCACATCCATTACTCTGTGCTATATGATTCCAATCTCCCTTTGGTGGTGCTCCTAAACATTATAAATTTGTCTAATAATTATTCCATCCAATTAAATGCAAGTACAAAGTATACAAATTTTGAGAAAAATTATCAACGGTTTTTTTCTCAAGAAAGAAATAATTAAAGTTATTTATAACTACAAAGTATTGTAATAATTTCTTTATCTAAAAATCGATTAAATTTAAATTTATCAATGAATGAAAATTTTATCCTCTAGTGGAGATAATATAAATATAAAGTAATTATGTGACAAATCATTCATTGAAGTTAATTAAAACAAAATATTTATAATCTTTAAATACTTCTAGGTTATGTAACAAGTATTTGACCATTAGTATGCAAATTATATAAATAATAATAGTAGAAAAAATATGACTCATGGTTAACCTGAAGAACATTTGAAAATGCAATGCTCTTCAACGGCGGCATCAAAGATCTCGTGTATGTCATGGAACTTGCGTCCGACGGTGATTGCATTCTGTACAAAGTCTGAGAAAATTGACTCTGCTATGAGAACAAAATCACGCAAGTTGCCTAGTAGTCCGGTTCCATAATCGGACCAAGCATATCCCATAAACGTTATAGCGTAAATGAAAAATTTTTGATACTGAAAAATATCCATAACGTGATCAAGGCTTGAACACCAAATAGAAACTGTACTATAAACTGTTTAAGTGCATACAAATAGCTTGTATATCAAAATTTTGAGAATGTATTCTAGTATTATGCAATCTTTGACACTACGCTCAGTACAATTACGTTCTTGTATGAACTTTATTCTATATTTAGATATATTTTAATCTTGCATTTAATACTTTCATAGATCTTTTATTGGTTAGTTTGTAATCATGTGTTAAAGTATATCATAGCATATTTACTAAAAATAAAGATATAATGCAAATAATAGGCATCCTTAACTTTTGGATATTTCACTTTTACTAAATAAATATATAATATTAAAAAAGCCTAATAATATTTAATATATATCATTTAATGTATTAGAATGTAAGTTTTTATTTTTTTACAATTTGCATACAATCTAAAATATGTCTATATAACAGAGATTATGTAAATAATTATGCAATAAATTTTGTATTTATATTTTTATATTGTACAATACTTATAAGTATAAAAATGTTAAATAATATAGACACTTCTTTGAATAAGTTGCAAAATTTTTGTTTAATGATTTTTTTATAGAATTGCATTAATATGTATATTTCTTAAAGTTTTTTCACCAGTTCGCCACTTTGGTATAATTTTTTTATATCAGTACCTCCGCCAAGAAATTGTCCATTTACAAATACTCGAGGAACGCTTCTTGCTCCAGTAATGTCTTCAAGTATATTTTGAAAATCATCAGTGTCATTTCTTTTATCCAATTCAATTGCAGTATAATTTTGCTTAATAGCATCAAATACCTATATAATTGAATTTTATTATAATATTAAGTCTATATCTATGTTTTTAAAAAATTACATTATTATTATTATTATATAATTATACTTGCCTCTTTAGCCATTCTGCAATATGGGCAATTGCTTTTTGAGAAAATAACTACTTTATCTGATATAATAAGCTTATTTACTTCTTCACGTGTTATTGGCATCTTAAATGCTGTTGTACTAGAAGCTGTACAAGAAACTCACAAGTTTTAATTAAATCAGTATTAAAAAAAACATATACAATAAATAAGAATATGAATATAAATTATATTTTCAAGTCTTATTTTCACCTGATTCATCAGAATTTTCTAGATTATGTTGGTATTTCTCATTTTCATCTTCTATTGATATTTTGATAGAATTGATAGAAGATTGCCAAATAATTTGTAATTGTTTTTGAAAGAATAAACAAAGACCTTGGAACATTTTGTTATATTACCATTCACTTTAATGAGTTAACCAATGATTTGTAATAAATTTTCTTTTAATAAAATAAACCATATCATTACAATGAAAAAAAATTTATAATAAAATGTAGTCAAAAATTTAAATTTAATTATTTAATTATTTCATAAATGAAGTGATTCAGAAATAATTTATAACATCACTTAAGTAGAATAAATAAATATATATGGTATACATATGTTTAAATACCATTTATATTATTCACTTTTCAATTTATTAATAAAGTTAATATTTTTTGCTTAATCTAGCATGCAATTAATTTTACACATGTACTTTTAAATTTTGGTTTATATTTTTATATAAAAGAAAATTGTACGAAGTTACTTTACTTTATTTTTATTCATTGAATTCCAGAAAGATATTTAAAATATTTTTTCATAAAATGAGATTATAATCTACGTGTGTAACTATGGATTAAACTTAATTTTTTATTGGAGTTGTCCAGTAAAATTCTAACCTTATTTCTAACTTTATTATATTTATTACTTTTAATGATGCATAGTTCTTTTAGTCATTTACTTAGTGATCAAGGCCATGAGCTGATTAATTAAAATCTTAAATTAGTATTAATTTTTACGAATCAACAAGCATTTACATAAATACACTTGTTTATTGTTGAAAATTTTTTATTTACCAACAAGTTAATCGTATTTTTCAATTTACCTTATAAATCAATATTTTAAAATAAATGATAAAACAATTTATGTAAATTAAATAATTAAAGATAAATTATTTATCGTACAGTTAAAATTGGTTTTATTTAACTTTCAAGAGTTGAAAGAAATTAAAAAAGAAATATGCAAAATCATATATAAGCAATTAAAATAATCAAGATTGCACTACGTGTAAAATAAATTAATAAAAATATATAATTAAAATACTTACATGGAATCCTTTGAAGGTATTGAGAAATAATAAGGTATTGACTCTCAAAGTAATATAGAATAGAAATTTGTCCAATACATTTAGCATGAATTTAAGAGAAAGAATATATATCTCATAAGTATGGGAGTGTAATGTAATAAATAAATTTGACCAACATTTGTGAATATAGCATTTGTGAACAATGTAAGGTTGGTAACAATATAGACATAAATAAATGCATTTGCATCTAGTATCAATTAGCAATTGGATATTTGATCTAAATTAGACAAAAAAATTATATAGCAGATCAAATTTAAATAATAATTGACCGATTAATTTGTTTACGCAATATTTTAAATATACATTTAAATAATAATAATAATGAAAAATGTAAAATTTGAATGTAAAGAATATAAGAATTGGTGGGAAATTTAAAAATTGGTAGATTCATAGTTAGGCTTTCAGAGGTCGCACAATTTCATCTTTTTACATTTCATATAAATAAGCATTAGTAGTCAACGTCAACAAAATCAAGGAAGCTGAAGACGTAGCTCTCAGTGTTATTATTAAAGAAGAGTTAAGAAAGGTACGCCGTTTGAGATCCGGGTCGCTCGGCGCCAATATCGCGCGTGAGCTACGTGCTTGGGCATAATCGACGTAGGCTCCTATATTTGACTGCACATATCTTCTAATTCATTAATCTGTATTATATCGACATTTCATTTTTATTCTACTAAATAGTTATTCCAGTTAACATTGCTGCTGCTGTTGCTGCCATTGTCGCTGCCACCGCCACCGCTGCTGCCGCCGCCGCCCTGGCCGTTAAATACGACGTGCGCACCAAGTGGTGAGCGGTGGCACGTTAAAAGCATATTAAAGCAGGATGGTATGAGAATTGGGAACGAGTGGTGGAATTAGGTAGACGACGACGACGACTACGACGAGGACGAGGACGAGGACGAGGACGAGGACGATACATCTATAATTGCAATTATAATTACGATACTATGACAACAATGACAACGGATAGGATGATGAGATCTAACTGCCCAGGTGGCGGTTTGTACGTTGTGGAGGGTGAGATTGGCCTCCTTATGACAGCGATGCGTCGTGGAGTGCGCTGGTCTTCACACTCTCACCAGGTTAGAGTTCTTCGTTACTATCCTTCTCTTTTTACAATTATTTTTATAACTATAAATAATGAATTGATGAAAAATAATATTTGTTTGACAAACAGTTTATATATAAAATCTTTTGGGTTGATTTATCATATGGTAGACTTATCGTTGTATTCCAGAACTATCGTTTCTGGTGGACAGTATTCATTTGTTGATATTTGTGGAAAATAGAATTTGTTCAATTTGGAAGCATAGTATTGAAAAAATTTGAATAAGAACTTTGTATAGTAAATTTGAACATAAAATGAACGAAATTTTAATTAAATCAATTTATTTTATAAAATTTATTATTTGTCCAGTGATAATATATGCAATAATAAAAGTTATTGTTATTTAGTTTAATTGAATTAGAATAATATTTTAAATAATTCTATCTATAATAATTATAGGATGAAGATCAAGATGTGTTAATGAAAGGGCTTACAACTTTAAAGGAAGCCTTAAATGAAACTAAGAACTTATCTCTGGTAGAACCAGGAGTATTTATGGCTCCTTTTTTAGAAATAATCCGTTCTGAGGAAACAACAGGCCCTGTAACTAGTCTTGCTTTATCTGCTGTCAATAAAATAATTTCTTATGGTTTAATTGGTATGAAAATATTCTAAACAATTGAGAGCGATAGATTTTATTATAATAGATGTGTAATATATAAAATGCTAATAAGTTAATATAAAATTATATTAGATGCTGAACATCCTGCTGTTGCACCGTGTGTAGAAGCTATAGCAGATGCAGTTACTCATGCAAGATTTGTCGGAACTGATGCATCTGGAGATGGAGTTGTTCTTATGAGAATACTTCAAGTCTTGAAAGCTCTTGTTTTATCTCATCCAGGTGATAATCTTTCTAATGAAAGTGTTTGTGAAATTATGCTTAGTTGTTTTAGGATATGTTTTGAAACTCGTCTTACTGGTAAATAAATGATTTCATTGAAGAGTAAATTATTTATTAAAACTATATAATTCATATATACATATATTTGTTGTAATATCTTCTTAGAATTATTGAGGAAAACAGCAGAACATTGTTTGCGTGATATGGTACAGCATCTTTTTGTAAGGTTACCTCAATTTTCTGACGATATTCGTGGTCTTTTAAACATGAAAGTAAAGCTTAATATCCGCTATTATTTTTACAAATTAAATTTTTTATATTTACATATTTATATTAAATTAATTATTTTAGAAAATGAGAACTAGCAATATGGAAAGTACAAGAAATAAATCGAAGAAAAATAAAGTAAATTTAAAGCCAAAGATAAAATCAAATTTTAATGACATTGATGATACCGAAACTCAACTTCTTAGTTCAGCTGAAAAAGTAAAGATTAATCATTTAGCTACTACTCCAGTAATGCCTGCTGGTAACATTGTTGATATGCAAGGGTCACTCAATCAAGTTGCACCTGATAAAATGGAAGAGGATAAGAGTGAGAATAAAACCGGTGGATTTAAAACTGAGTGTAGTAAAAATGTTAGCAATAAAGATAGTGTCACTGTTGAAACAAGCAAGAAAGACTTAAATTTATTTGGTGACAATGTTATAATCAAAAGTGATAATGAAAGTAAAGTAGAATTGCAAAGTCCAAATGTAGAGAGTAAACAGTTTGAATCTTCAACAGAAATGAATCAAATTATTCTTTCCACGTCAGAATCCTTGACGAAACAAAATATTTTAGACAGTCAAGGTAAATCTTTTGAAAATCAAATATGATATTTATGTTTCAATGTTTTAATTACTCTCTGATATTACAAAGATATATTACCCTTATCTGTAAATATTAAGTTCTTTGATATGGATTGCTAAAACTATTTCTACATCATCAAATAACTTAAGAGCATATTATGTTTTTTAGATAATATTTAAATACATTTTTTTGTAATAACTTAAGTAACTATATATTGTTTTTGTCATTGCTGAATTATGAATTAATCAGTTATTAATGGAAATTAATATTATTAGCTAAACTATGCTCAATATGCTTATTCTATTAGTAAATAGTAAAAAATTGATTGTATATATAATTTTTTTTTGCAAATCAAATAAATTCAGATGACAAGAGCAACTTCATACAATCTCCAGCAGGCAGTGTTGAAGATTTATCAGTTGAGGAATCAAATACTATTAATGCGAATCTATCTGCAGTTAAAATAAGCAGTGAGTCAGCCGAAGAATACATGAATGCTCAAAGTGTTCGATTTATACCACTGCAGCAACATCCACCATATGGTTCACTATGCATAAGAGAATTATTCCGGTTCCTAGTTTCGTCATGTAGTCCTCTTGATAAACAAAACACTGAAATTATGATGCATTTTGGCTTAAGTCTTTTACAAGTAACTTTAGAAGTGGCAGCTGATGCATTATCTAATTTTCCATCTTTACTTGCTCTTGCTAAAGATGATTTAACGCGAAATTTAATTTTAGTAAGTTTTTGAACTTGATCATTCATGTTATTTAAGAACAAATATTAAATATATAATGTATTATAGAACTAATATAAATGTTTATTATAGAAGTGTAATTTATTTTACATTATAGTTATTAGGAATGGATAGATTGTCAATTTTAGCTGCGAATTTGCAAGTATCATTTTTACTTTTTGAATCACAAAGAGAACACTTAAAATTTCAGATGGAACAATTTATTGTTAAATTAATGGAATTAGTTCATTCTGATTCCAACAGAATATCTTATGAGCAACGTGAACTTGCATTAGGTAAGGGTACCAAACATGAACTTATTAAAATATTTTTTATAACATTTTTATTATCGCTATAGAAGCTATAGTTCGATTATGGAAAATACCTGGGTTACCAGCAGAATTATTTATAAATTACGATTGTGGTTTGTTTTCTATAAATTTATATGAGGAATTAATGAAAATGTTATCAAAGGTACTGTTTAATGTAAGAATATTTTTCTATTACCTTAAAAGTTTCGCAATATATTTCATTTTAAAACAATTTATTTATACATTTTTACAGAATATATCAGCTTTAGTTGGAAATATGTACAGTATGCAATTTATTTCGTTGGATGCCATTTTTTCATTAATTGCTGGAATGGAAGCAAGATGTAAAGATTATACCAATGTATTAAAATCTTCAAGACACAGTGGCTTGGCAAATCTTCCATCCCGAGAAGAATTACTTGAGATTAAAGCTCAAAAGAGAGCAAGTTTTAATTTATTCTATAAATTAACATTTAAAGCTACTATTTTATACATTTGATTGTTTTAAAATTTACTATAGGTATATTACAACTTTATTTTCTATCTAATACATAAAAAATTTCAATATTCTAGTGGTTAGCTATAGGTTCAGAAAAGTTTAACGAAAATCCAAGGGAAGGTATTGAGAAATTAGGTGAACATGGTCTTCTTGGAGAAAATCCTAGACACCCTAATCCAGATAAAATCGCTAAATTACTTCGTGAAAATCCGACATTAGATAAAAAGGCAATTGGAGAATATCTCAGTAAAAAGGAGAATACAAATATTTTACATTCATTTGTGCATAGTTTTAATTTATACAATACACGCATTGATCAAGCTGTTCGTCAATACATGGAGACTTTTCGATTACCAGGCGAAGCACCTCTTATCTCTCTATTACTCGAAAAATTTGCAGAACATTGGCATGTAAGCTTGTTTAATTAGAATATAGATGTACAATTATAAAAATATAAATAATTTATCTTTTTAATATACATTTTCATTTATTTAGGAAAGTAATAATAGACCTTTTGCTTCTGCCGATGCCGCATTTACATTAGCATACGCTATAATTATGCTTAACGTCGATCAGCATAATCACAATGTTAAACGACAAAGTAATCCGATGACTGCAGAAGAATTTAAAAAGAATTTAAAAAAAATCAATGGAGGTGCGGATTTTAATCAAGACATGCTTGAAGAAATATATACAGCAGTAAAGTTAGTAATTTCTCGTGATTAAAATATAGTACTGTTTAATTACATTTTTCTATCATCATTTTTATATCATATTTAATGATTTATAGAAATGAAGAAATAATCATGCCAGCAGAGCAGACAGGTCTTGTAAAAGAAAATTATTTATGGAAATGTCTTTTGCGAAGAGGAGCTAGTCCTGAAAGTATATATGCAAAAGTAGGCGACTCTAGTGAATTTATTGATAAAGAATTAGCTGAAAGAGCATGGGCACCTATTATTAGTGCCCTTTGTCGAGCTTACGACAAAGCTCCAGATCGCGCGTTACAGCGTAAAGTTGCTCAAACATTCCTTAGGTACTACTTATCTACTCACATGTATTTAAATTTAGTTTAAAATTATTTACTTTATATTATTATTATATACTTTCTGAATTATTAAATTTAATTAGTTAGCTATTAATGCTTGAATTGAATAGTAGATTTTAAAATAATTATCGAATTTTTATCAATTGCATTTAAAATTGCAATTTAAGATTAATGTTTTGTTGTTTCAAACAATAGTTGTGCTACGATAAGTGCTCATTATGGCATGACCAGCGATCTAGATACCCTCATTGTGAGTTTGTGCAAATTCACGGGTCTGGCGGCTGGCGGTCAAGTCGATCAAATTGTCCTCAAACTTGGTGGGAGTGGAACCTGCCAATTAGCAACACGCACACTTTTCAAGATCTGTCACATGCATGGTGATGCACTCCGGGCCTCCTGGAAGAACATAATAGACTGTCTGCAGATGCTATTTAAGGCTAATCTGTTGCCAAAAAACCTAACTGAGGGCGAAGACTTCCTCGACCCAACTGGTAAAGTGAGCTTGATTAGGGAGTCAATAACTCCCAAGCCACCACCAGTTGAACAGGGACTCCTTTCGAGTCTTTATTCATACATAGCATCCGACACTTCGCGTACGTCCCATCCGGTTGTCACTGTAGCCAAGAAAAGGGCAATAGAGTGTATCGCTCACTGTTATCTTAAGCAAATTTTTGAAGAAAGCAAGTTTTTGCAGGTAAATTTAATTGGAATTCGTATTTAATATTTTTGTTATATTTATATTGTTTTTATTTTGATGATTAAATTGTATAAAATAAAAAAGTCTAAGTACTGTATTAATGTTTTTTGATAGTATAAGGATATAAAGATTATAAATTAGAATAAAAGAAGAAATTAAGTAATCTAAATCATACCTTAAACATTCTAGATTTGACAAATAAAAATTTGAAGTACTAATAGATGTAATAAAATTTAAAATAGTACTAATTGATACCAATTTTTATTAAAAATACTATTTTTAGAAATTATTTTGTAAAATTTTATTCAATAATTAAATCTATTAGTAAAAAATCAACTAATTTAAACTAATAATTTTGTTTAAACGTCATAAAAAGCTTCAATTTTAATATTTATAATCTTGATAATTATATGCTAGTAATTCCCAACAAATGTACATGAACTTTTAATTAATTAGTATTATTTAAGATATATTAAAAAGAAAAATAATGAATATTTTATTTAAAGAATGATAATTTTATTATTCATTGCAAGATTAGGTAAAATAAAGTTAGTTACTAATTGTTTAATATATTCGACAAAAAATACATGTTCTATTAAAACTTTATTATTACAAATACTCATAAATTGTATGCTATAGTTTTTATGTTGAGAAATGTACAAACTGATTGATCATTTTTATGCATCATAACTGTACAAACAACGAAAATATTTTTTTCTTTGCTATTCATTGTTGGACAATATTTATTTACTATTACAGATTACCTTTTGTTTAATTCTGTTTAAACAGGGTATAAGTATACTTTAATTTTGAAATGATCTGTTTTATTGACTTTATTAATATTAAAATAATGTATATATAATATCTATAAAATAAAATTAGTATTAATTAAAGATATATGAAGTATAAGAATTAATTTCATTATTTTATATATTACTGTTTCTAGAGTATACCAAGATGATATATAAGTAAATGAAATAAATCTTTTTTAATGAGAAAGTTTTAGATTATAATAATATTTGTTAATAAATGTTACTTATTGCAAATGTTTTTCGTATTTTGGTAAGCGTATAATTAATTTAAAGGAATATTACTATTATTTTGCAAAAAATTCATGTTTTTTTTAAGTTATTGGTTTATATTGCCTAAATTGAAATGTTTTAAACATAAATATTGGGTAATTATTAAATCATTATTAATTACTAAATTAAAATAAATATCAATGGAAAATTATTCAACCAACAATTACATCTTCGAATCGAATAAGCTGTGAAACCAAGTACATAATTAATACTGTATATAATTCTGTTTTTAATCTATGTAAATATTATAAAATTATTATTTTTTAATAATAATGTAGATAAACACATTTGATATATTTCTTTACTTATTGTGATCCACATTCAAAAAAAGTAAGAAAGTATATATTGTAATATTTTTTATTAAAAGTATATAGAAATATTCTTAACGTGATGTAACTGTTATTAATCAATTCAATCATATAAATTAATATTATATTATATCAAATTTGTAAATGGAACCCATGGCTAATTAAATGTTTAAAATGTATTCCAAGCTTGTTTAATTGGTATAAAGAAATTACGTACTACTGCAATTGACATTAATATAGTTGCTGCTAAAACTTTGTTTAATTGAATGTGCTACATTGTATAAGATCAATATTTAATAAATGCTAGAAATTAATACATCATAATATTAATATCTTAATTATTTTAAATTCATAATATTCAAATATTTCATAATATAAGTCAAAATTAAATATGCGATATAATGTGTAATAACATATACCTGCCATAGCATATTATTATGATGAAAATGATTAAAATAATTAAAATAAAAATGGCAATTGCTGCAGGTAGAGTCGCTGAGGTCACTAGTGACGGCCTTGGTGTCGGCAAGTGCGAGTGACGAGGGAGCGGCGGTGTTTCTATTGGAGCAACTACTTGATGTAACTGTCCAAAATCGCGACAGAGTCAGTTGTATTTGGCCAGTAGTCCAAGCACAATTGGATGGGTTATTGACGAGTGCGGCACGTGACAATCAGCCTCATCTTCTGGAACGTGCGACTGTTGGAATGTTGAGACTTGCGGTGCGACTGCTCCGAGGCGAGGAATTTGCCCGCACCGTTTTAGCACCGCTGGCGCCTCTCGGCCAATTGACCTCAGTTGCGACGCCACCTCTCGCTCGCCAGATCGCCTACGGCCTCGCAGAGCTCCTCGAAACCGGTGCCGCGAACATCCACAGTACCGAGGATTGGCGCATAGTATTTAGCTTACTCGAATGCACTGGTGCTGGGGCCTTACAACCAAGGCAAAATATCATCATGGCCGAGACTACTGTACGCGGATCGCCCGTATGTCTTTTCTCTATTATTTCTATTTCTGCCTTTGTAAGTTAGATAATTTGTCATGAAAAAAGACTTCGTGACAAGGCTTGTTTAATTTTTTCAGTTTTACTATTTCCATTGACACATTCATAATTATTTGTTTGATTCCTTATATCTTTATTTTTTTTCAATAAAATCATTGGTGCAATTTTATTTATTGGACTTGTCTATTGACAAACTTTTGAATCAAATTTTGTTATCAAATCTGGTTTCTTAAATTTAACAGAGGTTGTGCCTTCTATTCTCTCTCTCTCTCTCTCTCTCTTTCTATCTCTCTAGAAAAATAGAAATTTATCCGTTGAATTGAGCTAAGTATTACATATTAATGCTCATATATATTTAATTGAAAACGGATTCCCTGCTTTTTACTTTAGTTGAGGAATATCAATGTTAAGTCGTATTTACTTTTATAAGATTCAAACAAAATATTTGATTAAATTCAAGATTTTTTAACACATTTCGTATCATTTTTCTTAAATATGTTAGTAAAAAAATTAAAAAATTTTTAAATTATGTTATCGATAATTTTATTTTTTATATTTTCTTAGAAATTATTTATACATATTCTTCAAATTTATCATAAAAGAGTCTAGTAATAGATAATATCTATTTTAGTAATAGAAAACAATAGTAAAATAGTTTATTAAATAGCTGTAGTTTATTATTCAAACTGTATTGTCAATGATGTCATTATTATTTTTATGTCGAAAAGATTAAGTCTTGTTTCATATATTCATCCACCAAATTAATAATCAGATCAATCGAATTATTCGTTAAACAAAATTTGAGCTAACTAATTAAGTGATTAAGTTGTTGATGAGGGGATCATGGTACCTCTTAAAGGTAAAAGACCGAGTGACAGCAACCGGAATTGTTTTAGGTTCTGATGCTCGATCATCGTCCGGCAAGTCCAGTGCCAGAGTGGGTGTTAGTTTCGCCGACAGGTACAGAAGCTCCGTTACCTGTCGCCGCAGATACCATTGTTCTCGACCGTGAGCTTCAGCCCCACGACCCGACGGCCCTTGTCAAATGCTGCGAGAGCCTGACCTTTCTTGTGCGCGATGTTGCTCATGTTACGCCCTTTAACTTCGAATTGTGCGTGCGTTGTGTAAGGACTTTCGCTGAGGCCGTACTTTGTTCAGCGACGAGGCGCACTAGAGTACATAACGGAACTGATGAGCCCCCCAGCTACCAGCAGACGCCTTTGCAGCTTCTCGATCTCATGCATACGCTTCACACGAAGACGGCTCAGGTAGTATAGAGTTTCTAGTTTCGCATTTTCTGGAAATTTAAACAAATCCTTGGTTTTCGATTGACTATTTCAGAAAAAGTCTCAATCTAAGATGATAATGAATTCATATCATTCTCAAAGAGTCATGCGATTGTCAATCATCGCTACTTTTAAAAGCCATTAAGATTAATAAAAGAAAAGAGCAAATGCATGTAACATGTAACATGTAATGCATTTAACGAAATTAGGTGTTTCGCTGGTGGGCCGAGGAGGAGAACAACGCAAGTGGGATTGGAAAAGGGACCGTAACTCCGGTTTCACTTTGGCCTCAGGCTTGGCGTCCACTTCTTCAGGGTATAGCGCGACTCTGCTGCGACTCACGGCGTCCGGTGCGCGCTGCTGCCATCACCTTCCTTCAGAGCACACTTCTTGCCCACGATCTTGGCCAGCTTTCTGCCGTTGAATGGTCACAGTGCCTTGAGCAAGTGCTGTTCCCGCTGTTGGCTCAGCTCCTGGGCCCCATCGCCGCCAACGATCCCCTCGCCGTCGAGGAGACGAGAGTGCGTGCGGCGATGCTCCTTTCCAAGGTGAGCCTGAGTATTCCGAAGGAAAAAAAAACGACAGTTTAAGAGTATTGTGAGATTAATTATATTAATTAATTATATAATATTAATACATAAGTCACAGGGCATTTGAACCTCAAATAATGCTACTAGACTATTTATTGCAAAGTATGAAGTTCCATAGGCACAATAAAGTTATTGCCTTGAGTACTATAGGTTATCATAAAATAGTTAAATTATTTTTCCTAAATGTAAAGGTATTTTACAACAAAAAATAAATCTGAATAATTATTTAAATATAACTTATTAAATATTTTGCTAAACATATTTTATGACGTCAATATGAATTAATACGGATTATTATTTTGTGTATAATTAATAAATCGATAAAAGGTTTGAAAGTTGATCTTTTACATATCAACATGAAAATTTATCAATCTGAAATAGAAAATTTTTTTTATAGAACAATTAATGAAACAAATTCATCAATAACTTACCAAACGCGTTCCTCAAAAATAATGTCTAGGTCTTCCTTCATCATCTGAATCCATTGTTGACGCTGTCCGGCTTTTTGCCCCTCTGGCTAACAGTCCTTGATCTTCTGCGGGCTTACATGCACGCTGACAATAGCGAGAACCTCTACGAAGCGATTCCCGAATCTCTGAAGAACATGCTTCTGGTAATGTCGTCCGCAGGTGTGCTACAGGTGGATTCGTATTTATGGACGCCGACGTGGCGCGCTATCGATGCCTTTCTGCCTAACTTAAAGAATGAGCTTTTTCCGAAGCCAATGAGTCTTTCCGAGCAGAAACTTCTCACGTACTCCGTACCGGTGCTTTCCTACTCTGAAGATCAGCCTGCACCATCCATGCCGAGGCCGCAACAAGAGGAGCCTACGAATATGGTTCTACCTTCTTTCCTCCTTGATGCCAAGGAGCCCCAACAGATGATCAGCCTTATGAGCCAACCAGTTCCGGGTGTCTCGAGTCCTGTTACCATACAACCCACGTCTCCAATTTATGTAGCTTTACCGCAGGAGCAGATGCCCGAGCAGCAACAGCAGGTGCCGTTATGCTACCAAGCTCTTGATATCGATAACTCGGGCTCACCTACTAAACATCACTTTGCTCATATGCCTCAAATGCAGGACTTTGATAGTGGCGTCTACTCGGAGACTCTCAAGCATACGGTTGAATGCGAGACTCAGTCTGAGGTAATTCTTTCAATTTAACTTTATCATCAATTTTTACAATGCCATGTTCTCCTCTTTAATTAATTATACTTCCGACTAAAATCAACTCCATTCTTCGTACACATACTCATATTTATAAGAATAACCATTCGATTATTCGTTGATTATTCATTATTGTAGCCATTCAATAAAATTTGGTGAAAAATCATTCATCTATTTTTTATATTGAATTTGATCATGCATGATTGCGAGAAAAGAATATTTTTAAGATTTGCCAGAGAGAAATTGTAATAAAATATTTCTTAAATAATTTTATTTTTTCTATTAATTTATTAATACTAAATTTGTCATTTTTACCAAGTAAATATCAAATAATTAAAAATTTTAGTTTAAATAATTGCTAATGACATTTAAGCTATCACCTTTAACGCGAAGCAAGTAGATATATATTAAAAAAGAATTATGATTTTGCAAATAAATGAAAGCAAGAAATGTATACTTTTATACTAAAATTTTAATAATACCAATTATTGTTTTAAAACTTGATATTAATGCCAATGTAACTGCATAATTTTATCTTTTTTTGCGTATAATATTATTGTATTATAAATATATAAAATGAAGTGATACTTTATGAATATTATATATACTGCCATTGTATTTAAAAAATGTAATTGATAGTTTAAATATGAAATTAAATTTAATTATCATTGAATTGCAAAAAAATTAATTAAGTAAAATAATCAATTTTTAAAAATTTGTACAATAATAAATATAAAACTAATTATTTTTTAAATTACAATTTTATCGGTATAAAATAATCATATTTTCGTAGGAAATGCAATATAAATAAATAAAACGTATGAAAAAATACAATATAACAATGTGACGTTTATAATTTAAATATGATACAATTTTGTTTTCTTTTTAAAGCGTTACAAAATGAATATTTTATAATAGCAATAATTTTGATCTTTAACTTATATTAACTTAGTACAAACTTATATGTAAATTTATTGAATAGCATAATAAAGCAAATAACCAATTTGTTTATAATCGAAAACGCACATGAAATATTATGATTACAGATACCAGCAGGAGACACCGCTATGATATTTAATTCGGCTGCGTACTTCAGTGAGGATCCTGCAACAGATCGTCTTTTTATTATCACTAATCCTTGACTATATACTGTACATTTTTCGTGTATATTGTATTATATAAATTCTTCTATATCACATAATAATATTGGAACACATGCGGTAAATGAAATGAAAAAGTCAAGTTCACACCTTAGAATCTTTGGCTTGTATATTTGGCAAAAAACATGCATATTATGTACATTATATAAAATGCATATTTATATTACAACATATTAATAATAATGTTTATAACAAGTACTGACTCATGGATTTTCATTTTCAACGAACAAATACGTAACTTTACATATTAAGAGTATTAAGAAACAAGTAAAAACACTTAATTGTTAAAATACAAGTTTACATTTCAAAAATATATATATTTTATTCGATTTTTATTTGTCGTCAGTAATATTAGAAAAATTTGGTTCTCCGCATAATATCATTATTACGAATTTAAATACTATTACGTAAAACAGTCTTAAATAAACAAATAGTAAAATAACATTTCAATTGGAAAGACCTCGGAATTACGAATCTGTTGGGTGTATGAATAAAATCCATCAGTGTATCCACACAGCAATATTGATCAACAACAATTTATACAGATCATTGCAGGAATTCATATTTATATATTAAACATAAAAGAAACATACAATAATATGTATTATAATAAATGAGAAAATCTTTTTTCCACAATTAAGTTAAGGCATTGATGGTTGCTATGCTATATGTTTCTCCCCATACGTGTAATTTTCTCAAAACATATAGCAGAGTTGCTATTAATACATAAAGCTGACTAAAGATCTTTTTGAGTTCAGATCTTTCAGCAGAGTAGGAGAGAGAGAGAGAGAGAGAGAAAGAGAGAGCGCATAACCTTAATAATATGAGCCAGATGCGTTCCGTATACGCGTACATAAAAATACAAAAAGAGAGGAAAAGTGCACGCATTGGTCGGGCAAAAAAAAAAGAGAGAACGGGTAAAAGTTGTTTGGTATGAGAGAACCGTTATTCTTTTGTGGAAACATAAGTTTTAAAATCTTTTGATATGGTAATGCACATTTTTTAATGTTTTTTTATTATTACAAATATCAATCAGGCACTCACTTAAAAATGAAGTTTATTTATTGTGTATTTTGCACATTTCCAAATAATTTTATCAGACTGTAATGTACATTAGATACAATTTATTGTTAATGAGAAAGAAATTATAACAAGGCATATTTATCAATAACATCAATAAATTACCTGCTTCTAACTATATTGTTATAAAAATAAAAAAATTTTAAATCACGTCAAGATTTTTTCGTTAAATTTGTTTCGGAAATCTATCTGTTCAAATTTATTTACATTTTTGCAATATTTTGTTACTTTCAAAGCATTATGTATTTAACGTTCATGTATATTTGGACTACAAAATAAACAACTCTAGTACTCAACGATAAAAATACTATACGAAATATAACATTTACAATTATGTCCATTAAAAGAAGTTCCATCTTCAGTTTACAATGTTTGTAGGGTTTTGAAGAAAGTTTGACGAACAGAGTTCAATCGTCACTTCATTGTCGGCGCCTACAGTAGTAACCCAGACTCTTGCATTTTTCACAGAGTTGCTGAGGATGCACTTTACTTTGGTCGGATACATCCAGTCCGTCTGGCTTCTCTAAAGGTCTCTATAAGCAAACGATAAACAAAAATAGTTTATTATCGAAATCTCCATTATTATATTCACCTTTCTTATTTTTATTATTATCAACATCATCATTATCATCATCGTTGTCATTATTATAATTGTAACAGTTAATAATAGTCTTATAATTATTAATAATTTTATAATATTATTGTTATTAATCTTTACGAAATATGCCATTATTATTATTTTATTTTAATCTACGTGTATGAGCATTTTTCGTATAGTATTATAAGAATATGTACAAACGAATGTTTTAATTTATTTGGTTGTTTCGTTTTATTTTTATGAATTTATCAATAAAATTTGATTTTGTAAATAAACAGTTATGGAAATTTTCAAATGTTTAATTATTAGGAATATGTTAATATTAACTTTTATTTATTGCGTAATTTTAATGATGTACGGAATTGCTATATATAAATAGATAAAATGACTAATAAAAACTTACGGTTATATAAATATAAGGCTTCATAATCTTTATAAATAGTTCGTCCAATATAAATAATGAAAATGTAATACGATTAAACGCAATTATTAATCATTCTTTTTTTTTCATATTCACATTTGCACCAAGTCAAAAAATCGTGAAATCGAGCGTAATTACATTTATAATTATGGTTATATTATATTATGGTTATATATTAGCGAAATTATTTCCAAGAATCACTCGTCTTATGTATTTTTGGAGTCGAGCAAATGAGTAAGTGAGTATGTCGAATGTAAAAGGATATAAAATAGAAAATTCTAGGGTTATTTGTTGGATAATGTTTATGAATATTTTTCGAGTGTTGATCTGATGATATTCTTAAATAGGAACTTCTCACACAGATAAGCCAAGTGAATAAAATTTGTACTTGAAGAATCTTAGAACTGATGGATAACATCTTAAAATAACGAATTATTTATAATTCACTTGATAATATTTTATTATTCTATTTATTAACATTGTTTCGAATTTCTTGCCATATATGCATCATATAAGTCAATTTGGATCAAGATATAAATAAAAATTATAAATATTATATTCTATATATTAAATTTTTATATTAAACTTTATTTTTATATATTTTTCAATATTTTTCAATTTTTTTGGTAATTAGTTTTTATGTTTTAATTAAAAAAATACATAATACTTAACTGTAGTACACAATGGACGTTATTTTTTATTTAAATAAAAAAGAATAGACATTTTTAATTCTTGCTATTGTATTTGTATTCTAAAATTATTTTTAATTTATACGGTCAAACCTTGATTATTAAATATTAAGTTGAGTGGTTAAAATGTCGGTGAAACAAGCTTACCAAAAAAATTTCAGCTGGCTTTTTAAATCGCTTACAACTAAACCATCAACGCCCTTCAATTGTGACTAACTTATATTTAAATTCACGGCTATGTAAACTGTAGGTACTCACCTGCTTGTGTGGGTAGACATTGATGTGGCACTTAATGCACTGTTGACTCATGTTTGCCCAGCTATTGCCGGACATCCACTTGCGCTTACACTTTGGACACTTGTATTCTCCGAAACATCGCTTTTTACCCTGGTAGGGAGTTAGTCCTTCGCCTTTAGGACGTGCCTGTAAACATTTCTTTCTTGGTCATAAACGGGAATGCGATATACTGGTGTCAGGCGTTTTGCGAACACTTGTAAGGCACCCCGGATCAAATTTCCGAGGAGAAAGAGATGACGTCACTGGGGCCGACGGTTCCCTGGACCGTTGATTAGCGCTCAATGGGTGTGTGGAATCATCAGATAGTCATACAACCACAGTTCAGTCTCTAATTTTGTGATATGTATTGATCGCAGCATTTATAACGAGGCTTATCGCGTGTGAGATGATGTCAAATTTATGAATATTTCAGTTCTAATCTTTTCATTCGGTTAAGTGTCTTCGTTAGATTTTCGATAGGAAGGTGACAACGGTTGTCGTTTTAGTCAACATTATAAAAAAATTAAATATTTACTAAAGCATTCAACTTTTATATTTTCATTTGCTTTTAAATTGACTTCAATTTTCTTTATTATTATTATATATGTAATCCTATAAAGATTATTAAACGTTTACCTTCCTTGGAAATAGCCAAAAAATATATCTATATTTATAAACATTATTTAAGGATTTCACTTTCATTTATATCATATCATATTATTGAAATATCATATTAGTTCGTTTACAATATTTTGTATTATAATTTTACTTTATTAATTATTTTGAAATTGTATTTAAAAAACATTTTTAAGTTATTAAACATGAAAATTTAAAATAAAAAAACAATAGTAATTTTTAGTTAAATATTTTTATAAATAGGAATTAGAATTATAGGAATTAGAAGAATAGGATTAAATCGAATAAGAAACTTTTTCTAGGGTAACTACTTACTATATTTGTTTGCTTGTTTCTTACATTTATATTAATACCTTACAATTTTTTAATTAAAAGTTGATAGTATGTTTTATAATTAAAATTGAATTTTACGAATATTTTTAGAAATAAATTACAAAAACTTTAACTATTTTAATATACTGAATTCGTAGAATACATTTAAAAATCATATCAATAGAAATGTAATCATTTGGATTAAATTATGTAACAAAAATATAAATCTTTATAAGAAATCTGAGTATATTATAAGTAAAATTGAGATCATAACATGTTAAGATCAATATTTTATTATATATATATCTATATTATCTATATTAAGTATTGATAAAAATTTTATATAAGTAATAAAAAATATAAATAATAGTATAGTTCACCAAAATTATTAAAATAACTAGTTATTCAAAATTTTGTTATATACATTATATTTTCAAATTTTTTGTGTACGTTATAATTGAACGTTATATGGAGTTCAAATTAATTATTTAGAAAAGCAATCATTTTCATCTAGTATTATCAAAACAAAAGTACAAAGCTGTAAAAAAACAAAGATGGAATTAGTCTAAAAATGTTTTTCTTAAAATTGATAAAATATTGAAATATTCAATAATGAGTAAAAAAGTAACGATAAATTATAAACGTACGTTTATAATATAAATAACATACAATTACAATAAAACCCCTCACCGTTTCTTTCTCCTCATTTATACACCACCGCTACCGAAACCTGTAACACTACCATTGAAATTCTTATTGACATGTTTTCTTTGAGTGTTACTTTGTATTGAAATTTGGGATAATAAAAAACAAAAATATTAACAAAATGATAAATTTAAAAAAATTTGACCTGACTTGAATGTAGTTTTCTAGAGTTCTCAATATAGAATTTTTTATAAAAATTCTTTTACAGAAATTCAGCATTATGAATTAAGAAATCATCTAATAGTTTATTTTGTATTAAAAATATTTTGTTTTTTGTATTATTAATGAAAGTGTAGATTTTTTTTTAAACATGTAAGACCATTAATTGTTTTTTTTTCTTTTAATAAAAATTGAACGAACGATATTTATGCAAGCTCATAACATTTATTTAAAAAAAAATAGTTAAAGTTTTTCTATATATTTAAAAATTGCTATATATATTTTTTATATTCAATAATTTAGTATATTAATAACACAAACAAAATAAATAAATCATTTTGATTAGAAAATGGTTTTTCATTGCATATATATTTTTTTCTATTAAATTTTTAATGTTCTATATTATTCTTTAGTTATATACATTTTACTCTCAACCTTTTTACATATAGTTTTAACATACTTATCATATTAAAAAAAATCAGAACGACTTAATCAATTGTTTAAATGTTTTATTAATATTTATTATTTACATACTTACTTTAATAAATTTTCAATAATGTGAGCAAATTAATTACTTCAAATAGTTTAAATAAGTGGACAATTATGTAGAATTCTTTCCAATTTCACAATTATGAAGTTTATAATTTTATATAATAAAAAAAATAATAAATTTCTTTTAAATAGCCTACAAATACAGGTGAAAGTGTGTAGTGAGCATAAAATAAATTTTTTAATTTCAATAAAATTATAAAAATTGTATAAATTTTTTAATTTTTCTTTTTATAAAAAAAGTAAAATATGTCAAAGGAAAAGGGAGGAAATGAGTAATATAATTTATTATAAAGGCGTATGTATCTTTTATATCTATAAAATTACGAATAACAATTGTCATAAAGTAGACTTTAATGCTATTTAATGCTAAACTAGATGTCATTAAACAATTGCCCTTAGACGTTATTCGATAATCGTCGTCTTGTTCGCAAAAGCCATAAAAGATAATTGGCGTTGAAATATACTCACCTGGGGACAGTCTCTGATGTAGTGTCCTTTCTTAAAGCAGAGGTGACAGAGGTAAGTCGAAGGTGGTCTCTTGGTTGATTTACTTTCCAGGAGGCAGAGTTCACTAAAGTGTTCGCCAAGGTCACCAAGGTTATCTCTAAGGTTGGCGCTAGAAGTTTGCTGAGCATTCGATTGCATCTGTGAGGTCGAGAAGTTGTTCCATGTTCCTTGTTTATTTTGCAATACATTCGCATGTATGATTTGAATGCAATTTTAGCAACGTGTAAATATATCGATGACTAAAGGGTAACAATAATCTGACTGTTATTTTGGAAAATTAAGCTTTGAAGTACGAAAGTACAGCGGAAGGATGGGGGAGCGATAATTAACCGCCATTTTTCATGAGTAAGCTGAGTTATTTTTAAAATGAAACAGGTCACAATAAGAGGAAACTATACTATAAAGCTCGTAACTTAAAATTAGCGAAATTTCAATTTAGTGTTCTTATTGGTCTTTATTTTAATTATTATTCAATTGCGTATAATATAGTTTTTTCATATTCCATTTAAACAATGTACGTTACTTTATATAAGAATGGCGATTTAAATGAAAGCAAAACTATAATTATTATAAAATATAAATTTATTTAAGTAATTGAAATATTACTAACATATATACTTTTAATTTTCTATCTTCAAGAGGTTTTGAAATTCTATGGCCATTTTTTTATGATTAAAATAATATAAGATTAAATGTCTGTATGAAGATTAATACATAATTTAAAAATTTTGCAAATTGTATAGAAATTGTTGTTTCCCGCATATTAATATATAATTTCTATTGTTAATTAACTAATAGTCAATTAAATTCTAAGAATAATTTCTATCATTAATTAAATAATAGTTAATTAAATTCTAAGAATCAAAATTATTCCTATGACAAAGTATTTTATGAGTATGGAAATTTGAGAATAATTTAATACAAAATTATTCAATTAACCTTATTAATATATTAAAAAGCATATAAATATCAAGTTATTTTTGTAAATAAGTAATTTTTTAACATTATTGTATATTTACATAATTCCATTAAACAAAAAGATTAAATATATATCATGCCTTAAATGGACCGTTTTATAATTATTGAAATCGTGCTTAAAAGCTTTAGTTTGGTTAATTGAACTTTAACTATATTTAACTTCAAATATGTTTTTATTTTATAATATTTTGTTGTATAATTTTTCGTTGATTAGAAATCGAAAATATTTTTGAGTTTTAGTCTTACAATGTGTTAATTAGTAAAAAGGGGCATATTGCTCCGCGTGAAAGGTAGAACATCGGTACCTGGTTGTGAGAGTGATGAAGTTGGCTCTGGTCAGCAATGGCGAGGTAAACCCAGTTGAGTATTTGGGGCGAGTAGTGAGAATGCTGGTGAAGACCTTGTATAGCTCCCGGGTGACGGTGGCGATGCTGTTGCAGGAACTGGTGGGTTAGCGTTCGAGGTCGGCAAGCAGCCATGACCAAAAAAGACGAATAATTTATCAAACTTTGTACGAGGTCATCCGTGAATTTGCTTCTCTACAAATAACATCAACATTGTATAGGGATTCGAATTTCAATCCTTTTCAAACACCTACCCCTTCCCAGTTTTCATGCAAACGATAGCTTTCGTTTACATTTGTACTTTTATTAAATATCATAAACCATTGATATTTTTATATTGTTGTTTTTATTTCTACACCTAATCACGCATCTTATTTTCCCACCGCTTTTCCCTATCGCCATTTATTTCTTGAAACGATCTATCACTGAATATCTATTTTATATAAAATAAATTGAATTTGAGTTATTTGGTTAGTTAATAAAAATATTTTATTTTTTAATTTGATCATTAATACATATATTTACATATATATATATATATATATATATATATATCAGATTAACTTAATATCAACTAAAATCAGCTAATTAAAATCGAAGTAATTGAACAAGTTAATTATTGTCTAAACTGTTTATATGTTGTATCAAGTATAATTACGTATCTTAGCATATTTCAAAATTATCTATTGGTTACTATCGGAAATAATAATATACATTCTACAATATTATACGTGTTCATAACGCACGGCAAAATAACTTATGATATTAAGAGTATTTCATATTTTCAAATTACTTTATACATCTTCAAGTGGTGTATATAACACATTGCGACAATATGGATTAATTAATTTATTGTTTAATACATATATTTAATACGTAGATATATATATATATATACGCTCGCACCCATAAACTCAAAGTAATCTAAGACACTTAGGGAAGATGCAAGATGAGTACATTTGTGATAATGAAAAGCAATTTGTGTAATTATCTTTACTTGCAGTATAAGCAGGCGTAAATTTTCGCTTAAAGTAAATACAAAGATAGAAGATGACGGGTATGCGTGACACGTTCTAGAACTCGATTGCGTCACGTATCACGCATCACGCGCAAACACGTGCTTTCGCTCAACCTTCACTCCCACTAGTCGCAATTTTGGTTTTTTTCTTCTATCTTTTAAGTTCGAGCTTTTAAAAGCATCAATTGATTTGTAGATCGTAACAAATGTTGTAGCTTTACACTGTGTTGTATTGTTATTTCACATTGTGTAGTGTTATAACGATAATCTGTATGCGTGCACACTTGTAATTCTATTGAATACTCATTTTGCTTGATATTTATGAACATAAGTAAATCTAGTAATTTGAAATATCCTCTCACTAATCCATCAAATGTTTTATATACAATATAAATGTGATATATTATATTGATGACATAAGACAGTTCACTTTCCTTTTAGCATATATATATATATTATTTGAAGATGGTAATGAAAATCCTAGCTCGAAATAACTTCAAAAGTGCACGCGAATGACCATAGATTTTTTCTCGCCAATATGACAATCTATGTTTTATAAACTATAAATATTTCATCATATGGTTTCTTTACATTTCAGTCTGTATCAGACAATTAAACTTTGTTTCCAAGGATACTCCCGAGAGTTGCCGAAATCACACAATTATAAAGTTTAAGGAGAGAATCGTGACAATAACAACGTATCGCCTAATGGATTAACTGATATGTCGATGTTGGGTTGTATGTTTGGATTAATTTACATTCTTAGAACCTGGGGCAACTGACAGCGATCGTTTACCATTGAGAAATCCGACGCCCTACTTTGCTGTACTGTTTGGATCGAATCCTAGTGATCTCCTTGTGTCAATCATTAATAATCGGTCGTTATTTACTTAACTAAAGTTATGATGATTGAGATATTTATGCATGTTAAAATAACAACTTTTATTTCTACATTAATTCAAATCCATTTTCTCATTTTTTTTTCTAACTTACTAGACCGCATTACTTCATTATTTTTAATTTTAATATTTTATCGATTATGAAAATTTTTAATATAAACAAGGATTTTCACAACTTTACCATATTTTATATATTTTTATGTGATTACGTAAACTAAATATTTTGAACATTATTTATGCAAGTTATTTTTTCATGTTCCCAAATCAAGGTGGCTAGAAATGATTTATTTATTTGAGTGTCATTATTAAAATTATTAATTACACCTATGTAATTAATCTTTTTATGATTCAATTATTGATTTCATTGTTTTCCGAATTTGTGAGAAAGTAAATCAAGACTTTTAGTGTTAAGAAAGAATAAGCGAGAAAGTAATAAATATGGAGAAACAAAATTTCTTAAACGTTTCCTCTAAATATAAAGTCGCAAATTTGAAGGCGTAAAATAAAATACTTTGGTTCAATATTATCTATTATCTCTTAAATTTTTCAGCAATATTTCAAATATAGCTTATTTTGCAAATGATAATTTATTATTGGGAGTTCTCGTTAGTGTATAATTTCGAGTATTTTTTGCAGTTATGCTCAATTTTTCCATTATCTTTGTTATTATTCTTGAAGTTAATGAATGTAAAGGAAATCTATAATCCACCATGCCGAATATCCATTAAAGTGGATTTTTCCGAAAAAAACCATGTATTGGCATCATGCAAAATATCATCATACCTTTCCTACTTATTTTTCGAAGAATGTATCACTGTCCACGGTAGTGGCTTTAAAAAGACGAGCTGGGATCATTTTTAGTTAACGATACTACTTGAAAAGTGTTGGCTTGAAAAAGATAGGATCTTTTGCAAAAAAAAAAACGGGGTTGATAATCCATTAAACATAGAGTTGGAATTTTGCGCATGTCTCGGCTCCATTGGTCGTCAAAATATGAAAAATTTTTGAAGACCAAATGGTTCGTGTCATCTTCTACTGAGACAAGCGAATAATTTCAAGATAATGAAAGCAACAGCAAAAGAGAATTTTATGTTACGTTGCATGCATATAAGATCAATGCATAAGTACACAGACTTTTGATTTGCCAAAACTTTTCCTCGCTAAATCAACTCACGATAAATTCATACCATAATAAATAGTATGATCCTTATTATTTATCATACAACAGTAATCGACCCTAAGAAGTAATTAAGAGAGAATTTTACCGCTAGAAGTGCAACCCTCGAGGAGACTCAGTCCAGATTTTGTGAGTCCGCTTCCATCCCCACACTTTCGCGCCTGGTCGACGCTCCGACGGAGGAGCGACCCGTGACTTTGGGCACCTACGCGTGTACTCGCGCAGCCGAAACGCTTCACGATGCCCCAGACCCCCGCCATATGCAGTGCCGTTCTATTTCAGCCTACTCTCCTCCACTTCCCAATCGCAGCCCTTTCTCCTTCCCCTTTCCCTCTTTCCTAACTCCCCCACCTCCATCCCTTACCCGTACACATTACCGATTACCCCTTACTCAGTACCCCTTGCCCCTTACACCTGACCGTTACCGCTTCATATTTTACCGCTGCGCCGCCTTGTCGTTGTCTCTTTATCTATTACTCGATCTCCTTTTTAATCTTCCTCTATCAATTTGGGTAGCACATCAACTACCAGAGGCTTTGCCGCTGGGCTGGTTACCTACCTGACGAACATCTCATCATCTGTCACCGGCCCCTTAGCATTGTTAGTATCCCTGATTCAAGTACCATTGGGCACTATTATTCATTCTTGTCAACCCAAATTCATTTCATATAATTGTTTCGGTTATTTAAGGAAATTTTGAGTGAAATGCAAATTAAGCCGACTATTAATTGTTCAATACGTAAGAATATACTAAATTATTATCTTTTAATAATTATCATGGTCTTAATAAATTTGAAAACAACTTTCCATGCTGCAACTTACAAATCAGGTATTTACGTGCCTTTGTAATAAGCATAGAGATCAAATCATACTATACTTAATACTTCTAAGCAATTTGTTGATAAGTAACTACCGATTCATCAAACTGTAGTAAGCAGCATTCTGATAGATCTTATGTAGCAATGAATTCTATCCAATTCAATTAAAAGCTGGTATATTTATTATGTAGCATGTAAAGGGAGCATTAATAAAAATTATTATTTTATTTCTAAATATTAGATTGAATTTTATCTGAAAACTAGATTTACACTACAAATTGAGAATCAATTGATAATTAGTACTTTTAGCATAGTATTATTTTTCATATAGAAATAAGAATTGGATGTGGGTTGTCCCTAATCTTTCAAGGATTAAGAGTGACAAAAGAAATACAATTTTAATTAATCAATAAGATTTTACAACTTACAGATTCTACAATAATCATTTATTATTTCAATATATATTCAATTACAATATTCAATAATAATTACACTACTCTGTTAATTAATTAATTTTTATATAACCAAAAATGTTAAGTGTTTTAATATAGTTAAAATTTATACTCATGTATGGATGTAAATTTAATTTTTATTGGTGGTTTTATTTTGATTATTAGAAAAAGTAGATTATTAGTAAATAAAGTACTTTTGATTAATAAAAATACTTAAATAAACCTTATGATGTATATAGTAATTTAACTCGTCTAATACTAATATACAAATATTTTCTTATTTACATGAAATATTATAAATTAACATACTAAATTAATAAGATAAGATTCAAGATTTGATTTCAAATAATTATTATTATTTTTAAATTATGTAATTTGTAATTAGTGTATTGTATTATAATAGTAATACTTGTAATAAAATAGAAAATGTAAGTATTATCAATGTTTATCAATATTTATCATTATTTATCAATATTTTTGTATTATATTCATTATGAATTATTATTTAAAATAATTACAAGCTTTGATTAAGGATATAAGAATTCAAAGATCATTCAATTCTGTTTTTATAAGTATCACATTTTATTTAAAAAAAATAACTTCACTGCATCTAATTTGTAAATAAATAATAAATATTTAATATGAAGCTGATCATTGGCTTTTAAGATCAATTCATACTTAAAAATTCATAAAATTATTCTTAGAATTTGTAAGGAAATACTGGATATCCGATATATCATACATGATGGAAAATATAATTTAAATCTTTTGATTTCCTTTCATTAACTACATGTGTTAAAACCAGTTAATTTCTGTTGTTATTTATAATTTTACAAAAAATATAATATTACAAGTATGCTTTCGTATCTAATGCCGTATGCAT